TCTACCCCCATGTTCTTCCCTTGGGTCAGGTCGCTCCGCCTGTCTAGCAGCTAAACAGACGAACTGTCAAAGCTGCGTTCTCATGGTTCTCATCTGTCACTTTGAGTCCAGCGAGTACGATTGGCGAATGAACATTTTCGTTTTGTCCAACGTAAGAATCAGAAAAACACTGATCCTGGTCAACATGCATCTAAGTCCCCCCCCCCTTTTTTTCCCTCGCTCGGGCCGGCGTCCGGCGGCGTCGGTCTCGTCGCGATCGTCGCGGTTAGTCTGTCCACAACAACGCCCCGCCACCGCAAGCCGCGCCTTCAGCCTTCAGCCGCGCCGGCGGCACGGTCATGGCCTCGCGCGGCCGCGACCTGGGGCATCATACGTACTCGGGCCGCGCAGGACGTCGAGCTGGCGGGCCGAGCCGCCCCACCCCCGCACATACTTGGCGCCCCCTGGCTGCCCGTGATTCCCTACCGGATGGTACGCCGCTTTCCCTTTACGATGACTTCTCCAATAATACCCCCCCCCCCTTTGCCCCCTCGGCCGCGCCCGGTTTTACCAGGGTTTTACCTTGCCTTATTGCGCCTGACTGAGGTCGCTTTCCGAGAGCTAGGTGTCGAGAGGATAGTCCAGGAGGCAGAGAGCACTTGCCCGTCGCGCTAATTAGCCCCACTCCCAGACGTCCCTGAATGACGACGGGTCCTGCGGGGAAAATACGATCTCGCCGTGACAAACCAGAAGCGTGATAACATAACTCATTGTGCGGCGGCGCGCGTTCACTCGGAACTTAAACGCCACTTACTCGTCGTAGGCACGTCGTGTTGCATCACCACTGAAATGAGATATACACCGCATAAAATGTCACGACGTGCCTACAAAGAGTAGGTGCTGTCTAAAGCCGAGTGCAGTGCAATGAGTTGTCACGCTTCTAGAGCGTCGCGGCGAGATGGTACTGCGGATCGTACTGTTCATGGAGGACCTCAATGGTACTGTTCTTTGGTTCAGCGCAGCGATATCGCAATTTTCTCGCACGTAGGACCCGGGGACCCGGCTGGGCGGGTGCGGGTGAGTGGCCGACACATGGCAGACAGGCGCGGGGAGGGCAGGGTGGTGGTCGCCTTTCCCCCTCCCACCTAGGAAGGGACGCAACTTGCCCTACAATTCGCCCGCGAGTAGGCAAAACACCTCGCACCTGCTCTCTGGGCAGGGCAGGCTGGTCTTATCCGTTTCAACACCTGCTGGCTGCCCAAATGGGCGGTCACGTCGACTCCAGCATCAAACCGGCGCCGGTAATAACTCTTTGTTTATCACCCACGGGTATGAACCAGCAGGGCGCCCGCGGGGCCCACAGAGCATAGCCAGCGAGCTGGCGGCCGGCCCGGTGCCGCGCCAGGCCCAGCGGCCCCAGCGGCCAATAACAGAGCAATAACACTGCAGTACTGTATGCGCGTCTAGAGGTCGGCCACACGAGCACTTCCAAACGCCGACCCGGCGCCGACCGGCCGCCAGCCGCCGACTCACACGGCCCCACCGCTCCGCCCCGGCGTCCTTGGACTTGAGGGCGGTAGGGGAAAGCCCGCCTAGCACAGCAAATCTGGCAGTCTGCGGCGTCGGGCGGGCGAGGTGGGGAGGGGGGGGGGATGCGACTCTCTTTTCTTACTCTTGCCTTTCCGCACATTACATCCCCTTATCCATGGGTACGCCACTGATAGTAGTCGGCGGACGGGACGAATAAACACACACTCACACACGCGCGCGCGCGCGCATGCTCACGTACTACCGTAATCGCATTCCCTACCTCTTTTGTTCCTCTGTGTCAGACTTTGGTCACTTCACCCGCGGCACATGACTGACAGTGTCAGACTTTGGTCCGACTCCGCGACCAAAGCGGGGGGCATTGACGAGATATTTTTCGGCTCATTTCCTCAGACTGTCTGTTAGAGGTCGGGAACAAAGGTTGCACAGCGCAGCCCCCGCCGCCCCCATACCGTGCTGTCAGACGAGTTTATCATTAAATGACGTTGTCTAATTTTTCCTGCGGCAGCAGCTATATGCGGGCGACGCGCAACGTATAGGGTATTCCACTGCAAGCCAACCGGAACATACAGAAGAAAAGCATGACTGCTCGATCTGTTTCCCTCTGCGCGCTCATTGGCTGACAGCCACAGCCACGCCATCTTTGACCAATCAGCGTTCAGGGGGAAGCAGATCAGGTAGTCATGCTTTTCTTCTTTAGCTTCCGATTGTGTTTTAGCGGAATACCCTATTGGTTGTTTGTCTTGAGCCGTCTAACGATCACCTGCGTGGTTCAGCAGCAAAAGGGGCGGATCCAGGTGGTTGGGGGGGGGG